AGGGGAGGACAGAGGGTCTTCTTGGAGATCTCTCATCCATAGGACCCCATGGGCCGAGATCAACTTGTGGGCAGTTAACAACAACAATAAAAGTTTGTTGTGGCATCAGAAAAAACGCTCTGAGAGGATAGCACAGCTCTGGGGCCATAGCAACCTACAATTTCCAGGATTCCCTGGCATGGAACCGTGGCAGTTAAAATGGTCTCTGCAGTGCGAATGCTATCTAGAGTCCAAAACACACTGCAGAAATAATTCAGTTTGAGACCACTTTTAACTGCCCCTGGCTCAGTGCTAGGGAATCCTGGGAACTGTAGTTTATTGTGCACCAGAGCTCTCTGACAGAGAAGGCTAAACATCTCACAAAACTACAGTTCCCAGAATTGTCTAGCATTGAGCCAGGGCGGTTAAAGTGGTCTCAAACTGGATTATTTCTGCAGTGGATGCAGCCTAGGTCTAGGACGTACTCCAGACTCTTGAGGTTTGGCTTTGCTGTTCCCCATCCTCTTTTACTGTCACTTAAGAGACTTATAAACTCAACATCAAATTGAACAGTGAAAATGGCAAAGAGGAAAGGAAAGATCAATCATATCTGTCCCTGTAACTAACAGTGGTATTAAACCAAACATGAATACTAGCATTTGAAGGGAACAGTACAGAAAAACTCAATTGTATTGCTTTTCCCGGGAAGAGGAGCTCTATCAGTTCCCAGCAGCAAAGCAAGGAAAAAACCCCAAAGTAACTGAAATACCAAAAAAATGTGAAGGGAGCCCAGACTTTCTTGGCTGGGAGGGGGAATTGTCAGCAACAAGGTTAGAGAGAAATTGGATCTAAAAGGTACTGAGCGTGACAGTTGCATCTGCTGCATGCCTTCAGGCCATTTCTAACTTATTGCAACCCTATTCTGGAGTTTTCTTGGCAAGATTTAGTCCAGAGAAGGTCTTTGCCTTCCCCTGAGGCTGAGAGAGTGTGACCTGCCCAAGCTTAATTAGTTAATTTAATTTAGTTTTAAGGGGTGGGAGGGCTAGGGATTGGTTGATGGAATGTTTTAACCTGTATCAGTTTTAACCTGTTGTACGCCGCCCCAGTTGCTGAAGCAGAGGGGCGGCTTAGAAATAAACATTTATTATTATTATTATTATTATACCAAGTGGGTTTCTATGCCCAAACAGGGATTTGGACCCTGGCCAGTCTCCAGAGTAGACCTACACTCAAACCACTATGCCACGCTGGCTCTCTGTCACATTGTTAGCAATTGCCATTTATGACAATAAAGACATTTTGTCACCAAATATCTCAAGTCACACCTCTAATTTCTCCTTGACGTCCCATTCCACTCCATTCCATTCCCTTTCCTGATCCGTCACTTGTTGCTTTCATTGATTTAAAGCTCATTCTTGCTGGCCGCAGTTCCCAGCCTGCCTTATTCTCTTTGGATTGTCCAGTAGCTGCCCTTCTTCAGAGAGAGGTCTTTGTCTTCTGCTGGCCAGACTGAGATGCTGGATTTGTTTGCAAGGGAAAAGAACTCAGTTTGGACTTCTGGGAGGGATTACTGGTCCCAAATGTCAACGATAGGTCTGTTTCTTTTCCCAGATGAAGTGGCTGCAGAAGTTTATGGCACTAATTTAGATAAAAGTTTAGTAGCAGGGCACCTCTGAGAGGCAGAGGCAGAGTACAGTTGGTCCTCCACATTTGCATCTTTGTGATTATTTGCAGATTTGATTAATATGTTTTCTCTAAGAATCTCTAAGTCCTGCAGCACAATTCTGCCAGAAGTTGTGCTGGAAACTTGGGGGGGGGGTGCAGACTGCTAGAAATAGTGCAAATTGAGTCCACTTTTAGGGTTAGGGAATCATGGGAACTGTATTTTATTGTGGCACCAGAGCTCTCTGACAGAGAAGGCTCAATGTCTCAGGGGGAAAAAAACAATTCCCATGATTCCCTAGCACTAACCCTAGCCCTTAAAGTGGACTCAATTTGCACTATTTCTGTCAGTCTGCAACACCCCCCCCATAGAGATTCCTAGAAAAAACCCTTCTCTAGGCTTCGGAGGTCCTCCAGCACGATTCCATGGTCAGTGTCTGGTAGATGTGGACCACAGAATTGTGCTGGAGAATTGAGAGATTACTAGAAAATATCCTAAAATGCAAAGACATACAACTTAGCACAAAAGTTAGAATCATACAAGCCATTGTATTCCATATGACCATGTATGAATGTGAGAGCTGGACAGTTAAGAAAGAAGACAGGAGGAAAATCAATGCATTTGAGAGAATGTGGTGCTGGAGAAGAGTGTTTGCAAATAAATGCAAATAAAAAACACAGTTTTTTTTTAAATCTTGTTCTCTCAGGTTAAAAAAAAACACTGTGCTTTTCATTTGTGTTTTTTCCACTTTCACAGAGGTCCTTTGCCCCTAACTGCAGCAAATGCAGAAGGTGGTAGATTTGTATACCTGCCTTATGGTAGAAAAGAGAAGGCCTCCTGAAGGCAATTGACCCACAGTCCTACTCCAGCATTAGTGGCCACTTTGTGCTGGGCTAAGCAAACCTCTGCGTGATTTGACAGGGAAATCCTTTTGTCGCTGCTCTTCCCAAGATGAACTAGCTAGGATGGCTGCTGCACAGGGATACATAGGATGCATATATGGATGTATAGCATATGTAGGATGCTCTAGTCTATAGGGATGGTGTACAGGGATGACAGACAGTAGCCTGAATTTTCTTGATTAGCTCCAAGTAGGATAAACACATTGAATACACTGTTGAACGGTAAGTCAACAAGTAAGTAAATCCTATTGATTCAATGGATCTGCTCTAGTTGGGACTCGTCATTGAATTCAGGACAGTATATACAAAGTGGTCATAATACTCTGTAAACTACCACTAAGATCAATACCTACTTGTACCCATCCTATGGGTCTTGCCCTTCAGAGCTGGGAGTTGGTTCAAGGAGAGGTTGGTCTTCCAGCTAGCAAGCAGATAAGGGATGCATATCTTGCAGATATGGGTTGGTCTTGCAGCTAGCAAGCGTGACTCACTTTCCCTTGCATTTATTTTAGAAAGAGCTTTGGAGAACTTCAAATAAGACCACTTGGTGAATTCAGTATCTTTCTCCACAAGGCCAGCTGCTTTTGCTATTTTGCCTTAAGCATTTTCCCCCACAAGCCCAGAGTGGCACCTGTGGCTTAACCAGATTATGGCAGTGCTCCCACTCAGGTTTCATGCCTTAATAGGTTGTGTCTTTAGGAGTGGCATCTGTGTGTGTGTGTGTGTGTGTGTGTGAAAACCCTATGAGATTCATGGGGTCACCATAAGTTGAGAGGAGATTTGAAAGCATATCCCCACTTACATACACTTGAAACAGAGGCTGGATGGCCATCTGTCGGGGATGCTCTGATTTTGAGTTCCTGCATGGCAAAATGGGGTTGGACTGGATGGCCCTTGGGGTCTCTTCCAACTCTAGGATTTTGTGATTCTCATACCACCCACAGCAACCCAAGAAATGCTTAACTGTGGTTGACTTTTACTAATTAATACCCATTTTAAGTGCTGCTGAAGCACACTTCAGCGTTAAGAACAACAACACTCGCACAAACCACCAATGAAGGCTGACCAGTTTGATTTAATTTGCAATGTTATTTAAATGTACACTTGAAAGGGTTTTATAATGCTGGAACTGGCAACAGAGGAATGAGGCAGATGCCGCTTAATTGCTGTAGTTGTGTTTTTAATGCTGATGCTGGTTGGATGCTGATCTGTCAGCTCCCTGGTGTAGAGGGAGGTCTTGTGGAAATAATGATCCTCACTAGTAAAAATGAAGAAAATCACCTCCCCTTGAACCAACTCCTGGCTCTGAAGGGCAAGACCCATAGGATGGGTACAAGTAGGTATTGATTTTCCTCTCACTTGTTTCTTGACTGTCCAGCTCTCACATCTAAACATGGTAATAGGGAATTTGATGGCTTGTATGATTCTAACTTTTGTGCTGAGTTGTATTTTAGGATCTTTTCTAGTTCTTTCATAGCCGCTCTCCCCATTCTTAATCTTCCTCTGATTTCCTGATTTGCCTCTTCCTGGCTGGTTTCTCTCAACTGCTGCAGGAGCAGATATATCCAAAGGCTGCACTGGGGGCTCAACATCGGGATTGTGCTAGATTTGAGCCCCCCAGGTTTTAATTTTTCCTTTTTAATCAAGGAAGAAGAGTGGATGGGGGATTAAGGTGAACAGATAGATACAGCCTTATTTGCAATAAAAGAAAAGTACTGTCTCAATACAAACTGGACTCGATGTGTACTTGATGGACATAGTGCTGGTTTTCAAAACCGCTCAACTATAGTGATGAGCTGTAATTAGAAAGAGACTAAAAACTGAGCCAACACTGATCTTGAAATGAAAACTATGCCTAAAAGTCTTATTTATTAGTAAACTTTTCCACTTACCTAAGAGTGCAGTGTGGCCCTTGCTAAAAAAGGAAGTATGTATTGTTTTTAGTCCAGTTTTGAACTTTGGTTTAGTTTAAGTGTCTAGGGACTTTATCACACGGGGAAAAATCCTGTACAGAAGTGGGATTTAAATAGAAAAAAACCCTCAAAGGCAGGTAGATTTTCAGAAGACGTTGATGTTAAACTGTGCTTACCCTGAACAGAAAGTAGTCAAAAGCACTTTTGGACTTTTGGAAAATCCCAAAAGTAAAAAGAAGCGGCTTTTGATTACTTTCTGTTTGGGTTAACAACAGTTTAACATCGACGTCATGTGAAAATCTACCCGCTTTTGTGGTTTTTTTCCTATTTAAATCCCATTTCTGTATGGGATTTTCCCCACGTGATAAAGTCCTAGGTTGAAACATGCCACAGCCCCTGGGTTGTTGTTGTGTTTCTTCTTCTTCTGCAAGAGGGCTGCAAGAGGGTTTCACGTGGAGGGTGGGATGGTACGTGGCCGTCTTAATGATTGCCTAAGGTCTTTTAGTGAGGACATGGTAAAATTTTAGGCAAGCTCTTCCTCATTCACAGCTCATTTTAAAAGGCAATAGCCTGTGCTGCCTCATGAACTGGAACTATCTACTTACCTTTCACCTAATGGAGTTGTTTTTCCCTTGCTGCCGTCTTGTGATGTGTTGAATGGAAACGTAGCTCAGGCCTAATTTTTAAAGTACTGTATGATTTTGCTTATTGATTTAAATTGGGCTGTGCGCTTTGCATCCCAAGAGTATTCCGGCAGACTTTTGAACAGATCTGCTCTGTTTGCAATCAACCCAGGAATATAAATTTATTTGTAGCAAGTCCTTTTCATCTGAAGTCACAGGTATCTGATTCACAAAGTGGAACATTTGTGATAGCTAAGAAGCTCAAAGGATGTGTACGTAATTTTCCATTAAGAATACTTTAAAACTGATAAATACCGATAGAATTAAATATTTTACTATTTTACAAAATAGAATAGAATTTTTGTCTGTAATTTTATCATTTGTTGTTGTTGTGTGCCTTCAGGTTGTTACAGATTTATGGCGACCCTAAGGGGTTTTCTTGGCAAGTTTCTTCAGAGTGGGTTTACTTTTGCCATCCGCTGAGGCTGAGAGAGTGTGATTAGCCCAAGGTCACTCAGTGGGTTTACATGATTAAATAGCCAGAAAGGTTAACCTATGAAAATGTATCACATTTTCCTTGTACTTTTGGCATAAAAATAATACAAGTCTGCAACTTGCATCATCTGAGTCATTCATTCATAATAAACAAGTTCAATCATTTTCTTTCTTCTGATTTATGTTGTCACTGTTACCTGTGAACATGAGTTAAATGCACATTTAAACAGCAATCCCATTCAGTATCATTTGCTCACAATGTGCCCAGTAATTACACTGATGAAGTTAATCAACAATGCAGTATTACGTATGTTTGCTCAGAATTAAGCAGCATATCGCATGAGGAAGTAAAGCAGAATTGTATTTGTATAATAGCACACTTGACGTAATTGCCAGTCAGCTGTTGTTGGGTGGGAGACGGTTTTAAAAGCTATTCTTTTTACTATAAAAAAGAGTCTTACTGACCTCCTTTCCTGCCCCTGTCACACTCTGATTTCCCATGTGAAACTTAATTTTACTGTAATGCCAAATCTGGGTGGCCAGAAGGCAAGGTGGCCAGATGTCATAACTGCGAAGGAGTACAAGGCATCGCAAAATGTAGGACATTCAAGAAAAATGGAGGGTATGATCAGATAAAAGCTAAAAACACTCATATA